TGCAGACATGGAGATTTCCAAGCATATTTAGTGCATGGGGATATTTTTCAGGACATAGAAGACATGATTTTAAAATTGTAATATTTGCATTGATTTTTAATGGAGATGTTAAATTTGCTTCTGCCTGATTACTCATTGTTGCTGCGATGTAAGAAAAAAAAACTTCACTTTTTGTTCCTAATATTGCGGAATATTGGTTTGCAAGCAAATTTTTTGTGCTCTTTTTTTCCTTTCCCTTCTCTTCCCACTTTCACCCCTTAGCATATATATTTCTCTTTCTGTGATTCCTTTACAGCTGCTGCTGCACATAGAGTCTGATTATGAACATGACATGTTTCAAAGACCCGCCACCTTTTTCTGGTGTAGCAATGAGGATTCTGCTCCTTGCTTAGATATCTCTTCCATTACACTAACTCCTATGAACTCTCCTGACTCCAGACACTCATCTGGACTATTAACACCACCACCTACCAAAAGTGGTCTTCCAAAGCCAGTCCATGAACACAGCATCCCAAGACCTCGTGTAATCCAGCTGGGCACAAACAGCCAAAAAAATATTTCCACCTTCCTTTCTTTGTTGTGTATGAATTGTATCAAACTGCTACATTTTGTACAGTGGTTAAAGGACAGGCCAGAAGCATTTTGTCTACTTCTGAGCAGTGCAGAAATGTTTGGCATACCGAAATTGACTCTCCTTTAAAAACGCTTAAGGATAAGCTTGGTCTATATTGTTTGGGCTGTCTGGTTAAATTGAGAAAGCAAATGGAATTCTTATACCTCAATCCCAAATGCACTGACGTAAAAATAAGTGTCAAGGTTACTGGCTTTGTTTAGAATTCCAGCCTTGTATCATAAAAAAAAGGGAATTGTTAATTACCAATAGAGAAAGTGAAAGATGAACCCTGTCTACAGGTTCACAATGCAAAGCTTACAATCTCTGAAGAATTGTGATTGGACAGCATAAAATTTTAAATAAAATGTGGGAAGTCAGTAGGATTTGTGGTAGGCAATGTAGAGCACTTGATTTTTTTGAAGTGCGTTTAAACTCTGTGCAAAATGAAGAATGCCCATTGTTTATCCCAAAGATGAGCTGTAACATGCTTCCTGGTTGTAAGAATGGGCTGATACAACCTTCTCTTTCTGTTTGCAATTAGCAATTGGCTGTCCTTGGCAAACATGGCTTTTTGCATGGGTTTACCCAATAAAAATGCTTCTCATGATCATTAGTGCAAGTATGCATTTATTTCAAAACAAAGATCAGTTCTCTTATTATGATTGGTGTTCCTGAGAGAAACAAAAGGAAATACTTTTTAATTGCAATAAGTGAATGGGAAAAAACCAATTTAAGAGATTCAGATGTTACTGATTGATTCTCTCACTCTGCAAAGATCTGTAACTCCATTAACCCCCTTGTGTAGATTTTGTGTTGTAACAATTTATTCCTTATAGCATATATTTATGCTTTCTGCATTTATTAGTAAGAGACCTATTTATAACTTCCGCATTCATTTAAGGATGAAATCAGTTGCAATGGCCAGAATCCCAATAGTTTTTTTAGCCTTGCTCAAGGACTTGTGTGTGTTTAGCAATATATTTTAGGATTTTTTTCTTTTTCAGGTCCAAAAACACTTTTGTTCAGGTCCAGACTAAACTAGTTGAACTTGGCTTCATTGGAATCAGTGGGGCAAGTTAGTCATGTTCAGCTAACCTTTTGTCTTGTTGCGAAGGAGACTTCTGGTGCAGAAGAAACCATTAGGGATGCACTGTTGGTTCACTGACAGCTAGTTTCTTTAGATCCTGGCCATTCAGAGCAGCCCAGAGTCAGAAACATTCAAGACTCATTGATTTTCAATAGGAGATTGTTATGCATGTTGCCCATAATTTACTGCAAATTTGTCAGATGAAGGTGGGGAATAAAAAAGAACTTATTTTTTGTGATGGGCTTCAGCTTTTAAAAAATCGTTTGGAATGTCTGGGTTTGGATTTTTGTGTGTGTGAAATCCAAAAATGAATTAGCCAAGTAAAAATTATTCATACTGATTCCACATAAGGCTTGTGATGTCATAATCCTGTCATAACTCCTGATGGAATCTGTTCTTCGCACAACCAAAGGCCAACATTTGATGGCTAAACTTCTATGATGGGTGGACTAGCAGGATTTTATTATAAATTAAGAGCCTATGGCTTCTACAGTATCCAAATGCTATCCATCAACATATTTCACTTTCAGCAAAGGTTGAGTGTGTTTATCACAACAGTTCTGAGTTAATAAGCAGCTAATATATTAGTTGCAGAGACAGAGGAATGCATTTGGACAAGACTTGGCTTTTTTTCCGAGAACTCAGAGAAGGAAACAAAGTACATAGTAACTATGTACAAACAAATTGGGCAGGTTGCATTATTTGGGTGAAAATTTGGCAAATCTGTTACATGGAAAGACTCCTACATATACAGAACATGGCGTTTACCTGTAAAGTCTAGCAAGGTACAGTGCCTTGTTTTTAGGTGATTAAGAAGTGATACTTATTATCCATGCTGCATAAAGGCAGAATCAGTTTGTCTGCCACTTATATTCATGTTTCTCCAGTGTGTTTAAAATGGGTGGCTAACAGGTGTTAGATGTTGTTGGACCACAGCTTCCACCTTTAGAAGATACTTCTAATTTCAAGAGTGCACGAGCTTTTAGAGATTATTTTGTTGTGACTATTCTAGGGATTATTAAGACAGTTCTGAGTAGTGCATTCTAACCTTTATATGATAGTCATTCAGTTCCAAATTCAAAACCAATAGGAGGACTAGCTTTGCTGCATAGGAGGCCTCCCTTCTTAAAGACAGGGTAAAGTACATTGTGGAACATAACAGCAGAGAATGCTCAGCTTGCAGAAGAACCTAGCTTGCCTCAAAGTCTAGAGAGTCCTCTTGCAAGCTGCAATTTAGCAGCCATCCAGCTGAAGTCAGCAAGCAAAGTTGGAAGACTAAGTGACTTCACCATGCTCTGCAGACTAGCTGCTGGCGATTTGAAAAAATTGAGGGAATATGTGTAGTCATTTGTCATGGGTGATTTCTTTCCAGTAGAATACCGTAACACTATAAACTTCAATTAGAAGATGCTGGAGAGTCTGGGAATGCATAGGCCAGGCATAGGAAAACTCGGCCCTCCAGATGTTTGGGGACTACAGCTCCCATCATCCCTGACCACTGTTCCTGTTAGCTAGGGATGATGGGAGTTGTAGTCCCAAAACATCTGGAGGGACAGAGCACCTTATGAACATAGGTGAACTAGAGCCAGGAATACTCTGAACCTTCCTCCAAACTTACCTCTAAGATGCCAGGCTTATCCTTCCTATTGAAACCAGCCTTTATAGAAAATGCAAGTTCCTCTCTCTCTGCCTGTGACCCAGGAACAAAACTTTCCATCATTTTGTAACTCTGAACAGATAGCACAAGAGGCTATCTGTGGCCGGCTATCGCGGAAGGAGTGTGTGTGATGCTTGTGTGTGAACACAAAAGGCTTGTTCAATTTTTTTTATTCTTATAAGCGTATTTGTGGTAAGAAGCGTTAAGGTTCTCTGGGAGAAATTCAACGTAATGTTCTTCTGATTGTTGCATCAGCACAAGCATTTTGGCTTGCCAGACAGAACCATCTCCTTCTCCCCCACCCCTTTGTGCAATTCTGGGGGTACCCTGAACAGCACAACCACCCAAACTCATGGGCAGGGTGGGGGCATGAGGAGATGACTGGAGGGAACCCATTGTACAAGGAGAAGTCTGGAGGCTCCACTACATCAAGGCTATTTTCATAAATTGAAGGACTCCTTCCATTTATGGAAGGGCACCGTTAGATACAACCCAGAACTATGTGATGTATGAACACTGTTAATATGCAGGAACAAAAAAAAGAAAGAGATGCTGAGTGTATCTAACCACCCATTAAAACACAACCTATCAAGAAGCCTTGCATGGCAAGAGGGAAGAAAAACATCACCTCTAGAAACATGGCACTGACATCAATCTATTCCATTACAACGTGAAGATAATTGGTCATTGTACGTCCAGTTAGCCTTGTTCCATTATAATATCAGTATAACCAAACCAGATTGTTATGCGTAACATTTGAGACATAGTTGGGATTTTCTGTTAGGGATATTTTTTCTGCATTCTCAATAAAACAAAGTTGCTTGTTAGCTCACTGTAATGGGAAAGCTTACTTAGATTATCTTATGCATATCTCTCTGCATTCTGTATGTTATTGCTGCATATTTTCCTCTTAGGAAAGCATTTTTACTTGGATAGCAATGGTGAAATGACTGTGGCTATTAATCTTAATCCGACAGAAGAGTATATTTTCAGCAAATTATACTTTCCTGAAGCTGACCAGAATTTCTGGGCTTTTTTAGTGATGAGGTTTCTATAGTACCAAGCTGAACATTTTTTTTTATAAAAAAAAGTTAGTTTCAATATATTCATGGTCCTTAATGTGTTTTCATCCAAATTACTGCTTTATTACATAATGGTTTCTCAGTGTTTAGAGCAACTGCTATGTCAGGTTTGCAGAATATTAATCCTATTATGACACAAGAGGTAATAAAACAAAACTGATACGTTATCTCTTAATTTCAGGCGCTAGTTCTGTATGTTCTGATGTATAGTCAACTGTCCCGATAAATGGGCATTATCTCTCTCTCCATTCAAATGCGTTCATATTCCCCCCAACTCTTTTGTATCTAAAAGTCATTCAATTCTGGATACACCAGATACGCTAAAACTGCGAAAGTATTACAATACTGTTTGGTGCGTGACTGAAGGCTTTAGCATGTTTCATAAACCTCAGGCTGCAAATGCCAATTTCTCATATCAGCTCTTTTGTTTTTTGCATGCCCTCTTCTGTTCGAAAACGTAGCTTTTTATCTTCTGCATTGCATGCGAAAAGAAAAAAAAGTTCGATATTGTGATTTTTGTCATGTGAAATTTTGCCCTAATGTTTATTGTCCTTATTGTAGGCAGGCAGTGTGACACCTAAATCACCCTCCACTGACATCTTTGATATGGTTCCCTTTTCTCCCATATCCCCTCAGTCATCAACACCTACTCGCAATGGCACACAGCCTCCTCCAGTGCCCAGTAGATCTGCAGAGATCAGTAAGTTTTGTAATGAACTGACCTGATTTGTTTTCATCTTCATAATAAGCCAAATACGGTTTTTGGAAACCACGCATTTAAAATTGATAGTGCTGGGTTCGCAGTGTTCCTGTTCTTTGAGAGTTTGGGTGTTTGGGGGGGGGCATCCTGTGACCCTTTCATATGTTCAAGTAATAACTCCACTCAAGGCAGGAATTAAAATAGCATGTTTGTTGTAAACGTTTGCTTGTCCCTTTTGGCTGTTAAAACTAAGCAGGCGTTCAACTATATATGTGCTAACTAGGGGACTGGATCTATTGTTTCATATTGCACAAAAGCAATCTGAGGATATGTTTTAGTCCCGTGTTAACTTCAGGAAAACACTTCTACGGTCTTCGTTGTGACACTTCAGCCGTGATTCAACTAGCACTGCACCTTTTTGTGTGTGTCCCCATGCTGAAAAGAAAATGTGGTGGCAATCTCATATTCCAGTGGCTAAAGAAGGAAGACACAGGGGACACTATGTTTTGAAGAAGAAAAACCTGTGCCTATCAAATCCCGCATGGAAGGATTAAAGTAGTTTACACTCGACTTCAGAACCACCTATGTGGTTCTTTTGGGAAACATCTCAGAAGAAGTAAAGCGTTGCTGGATCTGCCAGTATTATTTTAACCCTGGTAACTATGACCGAGTGTCTGTAATTACTCCCTCACAAAGCCAAACTATCAAATAATTTCTACGGCTATCCGGTAATATAGTTAACATTAACTTCGTTAACATTAAGTATAAGTGGGATGGTACCAAATGTTCAATAGTTTTCTTATCGTTGGGGGTACAACTAATGATTTTGGCAATGTAAATTCCCCCCACCTCCCTCCAGATCAATTTTCGCTTTGATTGAACACCCACACCCATTACTTCAAACCGATTTTGTGCCATCATTTCTCCTTGATCACCAGATGTCATCAAAAGCAGTCAGGTTTGGCTAACTCTCCTTACCACTGAGGGCCATTGCAAGTGAGACTTGTTTAAACCGGGGCGCAAATTTTATTACAGTCATACCTTTGATCCCAAATGTCTTGGTACTCGGATGCTTTGGCTTCCAAACGCCGCAAACCCGGAAATGAGTGTTCCGGTTTGAGCACATTCTTTGGAACCCAAATGTCCGACAGGGCTTCCGATTGGCTGCAGGAGCTTCCTGCAGCCAATCGGAAGCCGTGCTTTGGTTTCCGAACATTTTGGAAGTCGCAAGGACTTCTGGAATGGATTCCGTTCGACTTCCAAGGTACGACTGTATAAGGATTGCCAAAGAATCACCGAAAGAGGGTAGCTTCTCTCTACCCCGTGCTGCAGCATTTCCAAAGGTGTTTGCGTGAGAGATAACTGCAAGGTCCATGTGTCACCTTAAATTACAAAGAAACTAAACTATGGTTTGAATTTCAGTGCACAGCTCGCTAGCGCATACTACTGAAATCACAGGCATTTAGTTCCTCCCCTGCTGCTGCCACTCTACCAGAAGTCAAGCCGTGGTCCTCTGAAAACAAACAATGAGTGGTAAACAATATTTGTTCTTGGCTTACTCCTCTTTGTTTGTTTGGAAGACTAACAAGGGACAAGCCTGTGTTATGGCTTGTTTCTTGCCAGTGCAGCAGGAGTGAGGGAGGAGAAAAGGACCCACAATTTCTGCAGCATGCTGTGCATTCATATACAAACCATAGCTTAGTTTAACTGTAAGTTGAAAATGATAGTTTAGTAATTTTGTGAGTAATTCTGGTCCAGCTCTTGTCATGCTATCCGTTGTGCTTTTAACACAAAACAGCCAAGTCAACAAAGACTGTCATTTTTTTATAAAAATAAAAGGCTTTACCGTTTACATTCTTTTTGGGAACAAATTGCCCATTGAAATCTTGAAAGATTGGCCTATTGTTTCTTTCCAAATGTATTTATATACTACCCTCCCATAAAATATCAGGGGTGTATACAGCAATATAAAAACCATTAAAAGCAAGATGGGATAATCATTAAAATGACTGGCCACTCCAGAAAATTTCAAACAACAGCATAGGGCTGCCAGCATATATGAAGTCTTTTAAGAGACGCCTAAAAACGGATTGTGGCTGCCAAATTTGCTGGAAGAGTATTCCACAATGTGAGACCAACAAAAATACCGTATCTTTTGCTCTATAAGACTCACTTTTTCCCTCCTAAAAGGTAAGGGGAAATGTGTGTGCATCTTATGGAGCGAATGCAGGCTGCGCAGCTATCCCAGAAGCCAGAACAGCAAGAGGGATTGCTGCTTTCACTGCGCAGCGATCCCTCTTGCTGTTCTGGCTTCTGAGATTCAGAATAATTTTTTTTCTCGTTTTCCTCCTCCAAAAACTAAGTGCGTCTTGTGGTCTGGTGCGTCTTATAGAGCGAAAAATACGGTATGTGCCCAACAGGCCGCTGTATCACAGCAGTAAACAGCACTCTTATGATTATCTCAGTGATTGGGCTGGGATACAAGGGCTCAGGCAGTCCTTAAGGAATGTTGGACCTAAGTTGTTCAGGGCTCTGTACCTGACTTGTTATGCTCATCTCCCCAGATAGTAATCAGTGAATTGTATTATCTTGAATGTGAAGTACTCCAAGCTGCTTGTGCACTATGTGGTGCCTTTAACCCCAAGAAACATAGATGCCTGGCTTGAAAGCAGAGGTTGATTACCTCGAAGGAAAGGTATAGTTTATGTTTCCGGAAAATAGTGGAAATCTCCAGCCCTTTTGGAATTACGGGGGGAAACAAGCAGGGGAGTTGCAATGGCTGAAAAAGAGGGGGGAAATCGGCAATTATTTTAGGCTTTCGCGTTGTCAATGCCAAGAGACATCTTTTGAAGCCAAAGAGGATATTTCTGAGATCAAAGTGCCCCAATAGGAAAAAAGCAACTAAAATCTGATAATAGATGAACGAAATCTTATACTCCCTTCTTAGAAAATAGTTTGATTGCCACCAATAACAACAGGGCAAATTTTTTACTTTGTGCTGTAAGACTCATGGCCTTTCCAGGAGGTCTGCAGATCAAATTTTCTTCAAAGTAACATTTGAACCCAACTACTTCCACTGTCCCCACGAGTGCTTCTCTTTTACCCCTTTATTTTCATAACAGATTACCAAAAGAAGAACCTATTTAGAAACTAATATTGCTAATCACATTTCAAAATCAAGTTCAAAGTCTGGAAAGGTACTGCATTCTCCACCATAAAATAATGGTCTGAAAGAGGCAATAATATTTTCAGGATCTCATGAAAGCACTAATGAAACGGCTGGCTTAAAGAGTTTGCAATGCAAAGTCCTCTGCTCAGATCTGTGGGCTGAAATCTCGTCCCTTGAACCCACTCACAAGGTGGCATATCGCAGCCATCGTCTCTTAGAGCTCTTCCCAGTTAACTGCAATATGAAGATAAGTAGCACCAGCCTACCTTACAGGGCTGTTGTAAGGATTGTTGAGATAGGCAAATCGTGTGTTGTAAAAGGAAAATGCAGTCATTATTTATTGGAAGATCTTGCCTCTTGTAATAGGTAAATCAATCTCTCTCTGTATTTTACTGAATTTAGCAGTCCAGTATATTATCATTATAATGCATTTTCACGAGGTGATTTTATATGTCATGGACCAATAGTAGTAATTTTAGAAGCTGCAACAATTACGTCCAGATCTTTTAAAGTGTGAAACAGAAATGCCAGATTTAAGACCTTGCCCCCGAAAACTCCATAACCACACATAAAGCACTGCCTTATAAATCTTCTTCTGTTATGTTATTATTGTGGTTGAGAAATTCATCCATAAAACAACTTGATATGGTCATACATTCTGGGAGTGTTTGAAATACCACAAATCCACTCCTGTTTTAGAATAGAAATTATTACACTGTAAAAGGCATGACAGGGATAGATGTGCACCACAAATTAATACAGGAGAGCAATGGAAATCTGCAAATAAGGGACAAATACTCATTTTTAATATAAAAAAATGAGAGGTGCATTAATCAGAAAAAAATGTGTTTTTTGTAATTCTCTTGTCAATCTCTAGCTAGTTAAAGCAGAATATAATCTGAACTGTAACATAAAATAAAAGATTTAAAGCATCATGAGAATAGAAGCAGGAAGGAATTAAGCAGGAAGTTGCTTTGAGCTTTCTGGCATTCTAATTTTGGGGGTTCGGATGTTTTTGGATGCACTGGGCATCAGTCAGTGATTTCCACCACCTGAATATGTTCTGATTTGGTACAGTCCCAGGAACAACGTGCTACCTTCTTTTCTCTGAGTGTGCAAATCGTCCCTAATTGCTGGGATTACACGCACTGTTTCAGCACTTCCAGTGTCCACAATCCATGCCCGTAGCATAACTCAGCTTGCACTGCGAATCCTGCCACTTCACAAAGATTAAGAGGGGTTGGCCATCGACTATACTGACTTGGGCTGCTGGGAGCTGAAGTCTAACAACTTCTGGAGGACCACATGTTCCCCATCACTGGTATGCTCTATCATGCCTGGAGGGGCTTTTGGAAGCTGCCCATTCTGAATGCCTTTGAGCAGCTGTTCTGATTTAGCGCAGTTCTGTGTAAGAGAAATATAATGCAAGCCAAAGGATTATTCCCCCCCCCCCTCGAGCTTCATCTTTTGATAAGAAACACTGCACAGTCGTAACCAAAACTAATGAGCTGGTGATCTGAGACTTGTTTGCTGGAACAACTTACTCTGCATATGTGTCCTGCTTAGAGAAAACACGAAAACACACACACTTCAGTTTCTGAAGGATCTGCAAGGGCTGTATGCTTTAAGAAGGAGAAGAAGATGACTATGCTTCATACAGATTTAGCCTGGAATTCGTGGAGATTCCTTCTCGAAAAATAATTTGGGGGAAATGAAGTGAAAATGAATGGTTGCCAGTTCATGACTCCTTCTCCAGAGGGGCAAGACGCAATGATCAAGAGTGGTGGCTCAACCGTACCATCTAGTACAGACCTTCTAGAATACAGCAGAACACTGGTTGCAAATTTTGCCGCTTTGCATTCTCAAGTCCAGAGTTTCACCAGCTGTCTGAGTTTCCATACACTCCACCTCTTATGTGTTGCTGATTCCTTTTTTTTTAATTCTTCTTCTTTCTAGAGAGAGACCTTTTTGGAGCCGAACCTTTTGACCCTTTTAGCTGCGGAGCAGGAGATTTCCCTCCAGACATTCAATCCAAACTAGACGAGATGCAGGTGACAAAACCTTTGCCATTGCAAAAATGTTGTTTCTATTGCCATGTAAATATCAGGGGGCATTGTTTGTGCTGTAGGCGGCATGATCATGGCCTGTGTTGCAAGGGGGGGGGAGGGAAATAGGATTCATTCAGTTGTTAATAATAGAGTATTTATCCATCTCAAGCAGAGGTACTTTTTCTGGGGTTCTCCACATGTGCCGTTTCCGTCATCCATTACCACTGTCCATGCTGCTGGTATTCCAACATCTAAGGAGAACAACACAGGCAATAAGTGAATCAGTGTTCAGAATCCTTAGAGGATTTAGTGCTTATTCTATAAGCTTTTGTAGCACTTCTGCAGAGGAAATGGGGTCAATATTACTGTTCATGCTTCCTCTAGAGAAGAACTATTTATCCCTTGTGGGCTACATGGAGGGTGCAGTTTTGAAGATCTGAATGTAATCACTACAACAGTGATGGCCAAACTTGGTCCTCCAGGTGTTTTGGGACTACAACTCCCATCATCCCTAGCTAACAGGACCAGTGGTCAGGGATGATGGGAACTGTAGTCCCAAAACAGCTGGAGGGCCAAGTTTGGCCATCACTACACTACAAGACCACCAAGGAAGAATGCACTCACTGCAAGCAAGCCTTAATATCTATCTGTAAAACACATTTTGCTCTTTCAAGGTACAACACACTTCGCCTAACTATAATATTGCTTAGGCTCCTAACCAGGTTTGATTCTTGCCGTTTGGAGTCCTAAAAAAATGTCTCCTTCTCTTCCCTTCCTCCTCCTTTCATATGCCAGCACTTCATTGTCCTTGTTGCCTGCCTTTCTATGTTCTTTAGGCCCAACAGGACTTCTTTAAACCTATCCCCACCCACTCAAATACATAACAAATGGTAGCCCGCTGGGTTTCTCCACTCATTTCTCAATCACAATCCCTTCTCTAGTCACCCCATCCTATCTGTGTATGGTTAATCAGCTACTCACACTTCATTTCAAACCCACAAGACCCCTTGCCTATCTTTCTTCATCACTGCTGGGTGTCTTTGCCCATTGACTGGCCTTTGCTTACCTCCGTGTAGTGGTTAGGCCTCCACCATCCCCTCACTACTCTTCCTGATCCATTCACACACAGGGCAGTACAGGCCAGTTGGGTGCAGGGCTAGTGGCGAGAAACACCTTTCCTTTTAGCTCCTCTGTAACATTATTCCACTTTTTCCACCCCAATACCCGTGGTTTTTGACAGTATACCATGTGAGACCAAACTATACCAAGTGCATGCACAAAATATTTATATCTATGTGTGACGAAATACCATAAATACCTTTCCAATCTCAACAGTGGGGAAATTATAATTTACTTCAGAAAACCAAAACTTGGTTGCAATCAACTTTATATTTACTTCTGAATATTTTGTAAGAAATAATGAAAAGATAAATTTAGTTGCAATTATTTTATATTATTCGGTTTAGTTGTTTGTGAGATCTGTAACTAGGAGCAAAATCCTATGCATATCTACTTGGGCGTAAGTTCTCTTGAGTTCATCTATAATTAATTAATTAATTACTTGTTCCACGTAATTGTGTATAGAATTGTAGCCTAAATTAGAAATGTTATTACCGATGTTAACCAATCTGCCAGAAGCTCTAATATTTCTTCTGTCTCTTCGTGCTTTCGTGGGTGTGCAGCGTCAGCGATGGTTGGTATATATATTTTCTAATGAGTTTCGATTCATGTCCTATAAAGTATAATAGCGTTGATGTCTGAGAGCTAAACTTTAGCACTTCAGATTGCTAGATTTCCATTCTTTTTCATTTTTCATGTGGTAAAATTTGAGAAATTCATGCAGGCTCCTTTCAGAGAGGTATTGACTTTTTGTCTGTAATAGCTCACTATGCTGTACATACACATTATGTAAGAATGAGTTCTTTTATTCAATCTGAACTTTTAAACTCAAGGGAAATGTTATTACTTCAGACAGAGCAGGCAAGATGGCTACCATTTCTGTAAAATACAAGCTTTTGTGGGGATGCTGTGCTCTGGGTATATGTGCACTTGAAGTGCCCTCAACCATGCATATGATATGTATTAAAATAGACACTGCTCCAGATGTTTGATCATATAGGGACCTAATTCACAATGTTCTTCCCACTCCCCATTCACTGAGATGGAAGAACAGTTTCATACATTAGGATAAATGCACCATGGATAAAAAAAAGGTGTGCATTGCTAAAGAGCCACACCGCCACCGATATGAGCCAGGAATCTGCTTTGTATTTTGACTTGCTAAAACCTGACCCTTTGCCAACAAGTATATATTACCTTCCCCAGGCATTCTTTCCCAGAAAATAGAAGGCATGTGCATTGGACTGATTCTTTACAGTTACATTCCCAATTCTGTCATCCAAACATAAGGCTTTTTACATGTAGGTCTCTAAGGAATTGAATCAATGCACGTGTCTTCTGTTGTTGTTTTGTTTTTTCAGTAAAAGAATACTTATTTATTCTTCAGCTCTAGCCAGTACTGTAATCCAGAGGGCTACCTTTCAAATCAGCCATGTTTGTAGCATATTTGATTTATAGGTCAAACTGAAATCCTATAAGCCCACAGGAATAACCCTTATGAAAGCACCTCTATCTTGCCAAGAATCACTCCTTATCTTGAAGGTTGCCTCTTGCCAATTTGTACATAAGGCAGTCTACGCTGCCATGGTCTAAAACAGAGCCATCGTATTCTAGTTCTTTATCCAACTAGATCCATTCCAGCTCAGAATGGAACTGCATACTTTTTCTCCATTTGCAAGCCTGATACAGTGGAATGTGACACAACCCACTGTATATTTTCAATCAGGGTTCGACCTTGACACTTGACACATCACACACACACACACACACACACAACTTTTGCAGGCTACATACATGTTCCACTGCCGCCGCCACCTCCAAAAACTGACAAAATGCAAATGTTCAAATTCACTTTTTAAATTTCACATTAGGCAGATATTTGATGGGGACCCTGATCTCAAACTGAGGGTGCTTTTCTCATATAGATAGTGAGATATATTGTAAATGTCATTCATACTGTTCATCTATAATTAATTAATTAATTAATTAATTAATTAATTATTAACGGGACAGTGGAAACAGGCAGCTTAAGGCTCAATAGCAGTAACATCAAAAGCATATGATGTGTGTGTGTGTAATTAAAGCACATTAAATTTTTAAAAAGCAGTCACACAAACACACACACACACACACACAGAGAGAGAGAGAGAGAGAGAGAGAGAGAGAGAGATTAGTTTCATTCTCTATGAAACAAACCAGATGAGAATGTATTACAGAACTCAAAAGAGCCTATTCCTGCATGGCCAACTCTTTCTTTCTTTTCTTTTTTTAAGGTGAATTCCACAGTTATAAGAATGAGCACTTCTCAATAGGCGTTTGTAAAATACCGCATTTTCTCACTGTTTCCTGTTTGTTTTGTGTTTTCCTTCCTCTGTTTCAGGAGGGGTTCAAAATGGGACTGACTCTGGAAGGCACAGTATTTTGCCTTGACCCTCTAGACAGCAGGTGCTGATGCCAGGAAAAGAACCGTGAAAAGATATCGCCATCTCTTTTTTTTAGGAGGGGGAAAAAAAGTTTTAAAACGTAATTACAAATACTGTCAATGTGCCAAAAATGTTTTTTTCAACTTGTTCACTTTTGTGAGGTTTGCTTCTGTGAAACTCCAGATAGGTTCCAGTGTTATCCCTGTACAAATGTAAAAAGTCACACGTGTATATGAAACCAAAATGAAATCACACTGCTGTCTTTCTTAGTCATCTTCCGCCACCCAATGGCAATTCACCATGTGCTGTGAAGTTCTTCGAACTATTCATGCAACGCTATAGAATCCCCTCAGTTGGTTTCTTCATTCCCAGTATGTAGGGCCCTGTTCATACATTTTTGTTGAAAATCGCCCAGATACTGCATACCACAGTTCACGCAGTCCATAAGTCCTTGTTTCTGGCCATGATTCAAGCTGCAGTGCGCTCTGTGGTTCTTCACATAGACTTTCCCACATTCATGGCTGTACTTTAACATAAAGGGAGTGATGGAGGCAGTTCCAGTTTACTCTCCCAGCATCACCTATTTGAGGTGCTTCAGATGTTGTCAGGCTCCAACTCTCATCAGCTCCAACTAACATGACTCTCATCAACCCTAACTAACTAGCACGTTGGGAAGATCGGAGCTGAAAACCAGCAACACCCTGGGGAACCACAGATTCCTGTCCTAGCTTTAAGAATTTTGATTAGGCACATAAGCTTATTTTTACATTCCTGGTGGTGTTTGTCGTTTGGAATCTGCTTCACAAAAAGCTATGTTTTTCAGTGGCGTGTGATAGTCTGTTTTCACATCTACATGTGCACACAAGCGCTCTTCTGCACTCAGAAGCATATTTAGGAGGTGAGGGTCCGATAGCTGACTCCTCAACACAGATGTTTTGGAAATCCTGTTGATTTCCAAGTGGAGGCAGACTAAAAGTCACTGCTAGGTTGTGCATGTCAAGTTGCTACGTACAACGGGAAAAATCCAGCTCAGATTGCCTTATGCACACACGCTTTAACTAAGAGAAGACACCCTCGATGTTTTGAGGTCAGGCCCTCTGCGAATTCCAGAGGGTTTGAGAGTACATCCTTCAGGATCTTGGAAGCCTGGAGAATCATCTGGAAGCACACAAAGGAGTTCTGCTGCTGGGTCATGTGGGAACCCTATGAAAGCTGCTTGGATCATACATTTGGCAAATAACTTTACTGTGCAATGTACATGTCATTTATGGGTGCATAATTTGATAACAAATAACCCAGAGAAGAATGGTGGGGACAGGTTATCCTGTTGTCATTTGTAATTCTGCGCAGAAGCCCATTCCTGAGCATCAGTGTATTTTTCTTCCACTAGCCTTCAAACTAGCAATAAATGAACATTTTGTTTGTGCATTTCTTGCATTCACCGGTGGAATTGTTCCTTCCTGTTTCCATATTTGCCATCACTTTTCTCATTTTTTAAAGTGTGTGTGTATGTATACACATTTATATATATATATACATATATATGTATATACAATAATTTTTTTTTGGGGGGGGGGAGTTTCCTCTCCTGTAAGGATCCTTTCACTGAAAAGACTTTTGGGGGGTGGGGAGGGGTGGATGCGAAGGACAAATAAGAGAAGACACTTAAGAGATTATTTTACTGCTTATATCTTTTAGACGGGGAGAAAAGAACTAGTTTTCTGGTACTTGGGTTGAAAAAAATAATAGCTTTTGACCTTATATTGTGAGGTTTACACAGAAAATAGAATGCATTTATGCAATATTATTACCTTTTTTTAAAAGCTTTGTTCCAGCCTCGGAAGACGCTTACGCAGATGCCTGGACAGTCTGGGATTCTTCACTTGCTTAAAGTTAGGCATCCGCTTAGGCACTGCGGCTCCAGCGAGCCTTTCCTATTTTTGCATTGTGTTAAGTCTTCCTTCTTTTCGTTGATCGGTCTGAATGTATACCTATATCTATGGACAGGATCCAAAGAGAACTGCCTGCGTACGTAAAGTGCTTCTGCACATGTACGGGGAAGAATGCAGGCTCTCACATCACACTGAACACCATTCCAGAGGGTCGCCTGACTTACAGAAACTGCCTTGGTGAGGACGCAAGGATGGTGGCTGCAGTAGGAAGGTGTGGGACAAACACTTGCAGTGCGCATGCAAAACACCACAAACAGTCCTTTGGATCATGGCCTATGTGTCTGTCGATATAGTTATATACATATATATATATGGAATCACTAATGAGTAGAGTAGACTATGTTTCCTAGAAAGAAATCTATAATTTTGTTTGTCCTATAGTATTTTGCAATTTGTACAACGAGGTTGTTTAGTAGCCATATCAATGGCTTTTTAAAACAAATAGAATTTGTATTTTTATCGTACTTTTAAAAAAGAAAGCTTTACGTAATAAGCATATATTTAGGGGCCGTTTACTACGGATGGTAACGAAACACTCAGAAAATATTTGCACATTTTAAGAAACCTTTGTTTTACTGATTTTTACGTGGGTTGATTCTACGAAATGCTAAATATGATCTAACCGATCTCGTCAGTACAAGGACACCTAAATTAATTCAGCGAGAAAGTACATTTTTAACGAGAGGGTTCTAGTGTTCTGGTTGAAATTTGTATTTCTATGTAATCTCAAACTGTCTGTTTAATTTTGCTCCGAATAAATGTTTTAAATAATTTTGTCTTGTGGAACAGAACTTTTATTTAATACTGATCCGCAGTGCAAAGAAAATGGTAAATATAAAATAAAAACGAAGAAGCACCTACCAAACAAGAAAAACCACAAAACTCAACAACAACAAAAATGGGGCCTGCAACAAAACATTGCAGTTCACAGTACTCCTGTTCACCTCCCACACTCCCAAGGGTGCATAGGCGCTGGGAACCTGGGTGCCCAAGCATACGCAAAATTGCCAATGAAGGGGCCGGGCACCCACAAATTGTGCCAGGGGCACAGGCACACCCCTGCAGAGGTCCCAGGCAGGTGCAATAGTGGGACCAAGCTTCTGCAAAAGTGTAAGTATTCTGTGCCTAATGGTACTGCTCTGTCTTCGTTGAGCTGTTCGTTTGCTACTTTGGGTTGTTTTGGTCTGCTTATGTCCAGCTCCGAGGTCCTTCTGGTGGTTCCCTCATTGCGAGAAATGAAGCTACAGGGAACCAGGCAGAGGGCCTTTTCAGTAGTGGCACCAGCCCTGTGGAACACCCTCCCATCAGATGTCAAAGAAATAAACAACTATCTGACTTTTAGAAGACATGTGAAGGCAGCCCTGTTTAGGGAAGCTTTTAATATTTGATCATGTTTTTAATATTCTGTTGGGAGCCGCCCAGAGTGGCTGGGGAAACCCAGCCAGATGGGCGGGGTATATATTATTATTATTATTATTATTATTATTATTATTATTATTATTATTATTACCCTCAGGGTTGTTGTGAGGATAAAATGGGGGGTGGGGTGGAGAACCATGTCTGCTACCTTGAACTCCTCGGACGAAAGACAGGATCTATTGGGAGGGGTTCAATGTTGCACTGGGGAAATGGTTCCATCAGCACAAGTATTTTTCTGCTCGCCAGACAGAATTATCTCCCCTCTCCCCATATGCTGTTCTGGGAGTTCTCCCATATGCCCCCCTCCTGAGTCCTCAGTGTTTATGGGGAAGCTCACGATGAGCTTATGATTGTTCTTTCTGATCCAGATAAGCTTGTCACTAGTTTGTAAATTAGTCTGCTGAAATGACACCGCTCAGAGAAGATATCCCAGAATTTTCTTGAAAGGCCTGCCTGGCAGTCATTCATGCAATACAGTTTCTCTTTGGGTTTAGAGGAGCTAAATAACAATACACCCACACAATAATCCCCCCCCCATCGTTAATTATCTTACCAAACTGGAGAAAGAGATTCTGTATTTTCTTCTTTTTAAGACACAATTCGCTACATGTCTGCTCGGCGTTCAGGACAAGAACAGTTCTTGTCATTAATTTTTGGCTCTCTTTAAGATAGTTGCTTGACTTGTCTATCTAAATAGTGTTTGTGTCTGCTTGACATTTATATATCTGAAAGCCTTTGGAATCTAGAGTTTCATCCAACACTTAAGATTTTGAACACCCCATTATTCTAAACAAGAATAAATAAAGCCGTCAGGTACTCCTGGCCCTGGATCAATTTTGATTAAAATGAGCTTTATGGAGTAAATAAGTGGTCTATATCACTGTTGCAACATCTCTGGGAAAATACAATAAAAACTATTTGTTGTTGTTTTTTACTCAGCACACTTTTCTGAATCTCAAACTGAGTAATAGCTCTGTTGGTGTTACAGGGCAGATGAAGCAATCTTTTATCATCTGATGACCTCTAGTTAAAATGTTTTGCCAAGATAGGGAAACTGCAAGGCTGAAGACCTAAGATGCCAGGTCCACTTCTTCAACAATTGTTGTGTTTTCATCCTTACTTCGTCAGGGAACATCATTAACATTGATCACAATGGCTGTGCTCTTTTATCTCTGGTCGGGGACAGAGGGTGGCGCTAGGGAGGGAGATGTCATTGCACCATTCCTTGGTGTGTGGAGTGCCGCAGGGCGCAATCCTCTCCCCGATGCTTTTCAACATCTTTATGTGCCCCCTTGCCCAGATTGTCCGGAGCTTTGGGCTGGGTTGTCACCAATATGCTGATGACACTCAGCTCTATCTGCTGGTGGATGGCCACACCGACTCAGCCCCGGACACATTGAACAGATGTTTGGAAGCTGTGCCTGGATGGCTGCCTGGGAGCCGGTTGAAGTTAAATCCTTCAAAGACAGAGGTCCTCTGGCTGGGTCAGGATGGCATGGGAATGAGGGACCAACTCCCTTCTCTTGCAGGGGCCCAATTAGCTCCAGTGCCTTCCGTTAAGAGTTTGGGTGTAATCCTTGACGCCTCCCTTTACATGGATGTGCAGGTTACAGCAACAGCCAAGGTGACATTTTTTTTCATCTTCACCACATTAAGCAGTTGGTCCCTTATCTTTCCCGCCCCGACCTGGCCACAGTGATCCATGTGACAGTCACCTCCAGGCTTGACTACTGTAATTCGCTCTACACGTGGCTGCCCTTGAAGCTGTCCCACAAACTCCAGCGGGTGCAGAATGCTGCGAGGCTCCTCATGGGGTTCCCTCCATGGGAGCATATTCACCCAGTGCTTTACCAGTTGCACTGGCTCCCGGTGGAGTATAGGCTCAGGTTGAAGGTGCTTGTTTTGACCTTTAAAGCCCTTTCTGGATTAGGGCCCTCATATTTACGGGACCGCCTCTCCTGGTATGCCCCGCAGAGGACCTTAAGGTACATGAATAACCATAGTTTAGAGGTCCCGGGCCTTAAGGAAGTCAGACTATCCTCCACCAGGGCCAGGGCCTTCTCAGTGATGGCTCCGACCTGGTGGAATGCTCTGTTCCATGAGACTAGGACCCTTCAGGATTTAACCTCCTTTCATCAGGCCTGTAAGACAGAGCCATTCCACCTGGCCTTTAATTTGAATTCAGCCTGATCTTTTATTTCCCTTCTCTTCCCTCCCCCTCCCCTTTTATAAAGATTACCCTCTCTGAGACCCCACAGCTAATTCTCCCCTGGCCTCCTCGCTGGCCCAAGTAAGACTAATTCAGCCAGCTAGCCCTGGTGACTATCCAATGCTTATTAGATGGATTTTCCCCAAATTGATTTCTGAACTTTGAATTTTATTGTTATTCATGTTTTTATACTGTATTTTATGCTGCTTCTACAATTAAGTGTTTTAAATTTGTTGTTAGCTGCCCTGAGCCCAGTTTTCTGAACCGGGAAGGGCAGGGTATAAATAAAAAATTATTATTATTATTATTATTATTATTATTATTATTATTATTATTATTGGGAACTTATAAAATGAAGGTCTTAAGATGTAGACCTCCCTATTTACGATGAGTGCCGCACCCCATAGTCAAATTGGACAAGGCTTAACTATCCAGAGATACCTTATTGCATTTGTATCCCACTTTTTTTAACTAAGTAATACAGAAAATTCACCGTATGGATGATACAGACCAGCTTTAAGTATATATGGGCATGCAGTAGGAAATGTAGTAGCAAATGCCATGAACTGGCAGAACAATGGGGAAGAGGAGCAAGGGTTGTAGCCATAACTGGGGCACACCTGGGATGGGGAAGGAGAGGTTGGTGTATGAAGTACTCACAGGGTGGTGGTGGGTGGCAAGGGGATGGGAGTCAGTGCACAGGAACCAGAATAGCAGGACCCATCACCAGAGCCAGAAGGGCCCTGTCTCTCCAAACACGGTGGGCTATGAGGCATAGGGAGCAGTGGGAGGGACACTCCAGGAGGCTGAGACAAGCAAGGGCCCACAGCCCAGCCCCCTAGCTGACCAGGTGGGGCTCACTAGCTCTGGGAGGAGGCTAGGAACAGGTGAGGGTCACCTGTCTCATCAGACCCAGATGCTGCAATCAGCATGCAAAGTACAAAACGAAGGGGCTGTGTCTGCTCAAATGCCCACCTTGAAGGACCTCAGATGTTCCTGGATCTCTGTGGGACTTTGGACATGGATTGACCCTGGATTGAGGACTTGACACCAAGTAGGCCAGGAGACAAAAGATTTCTATAGAGGTATAATGTTCCATACATTCTTCAATCCTGTGTTTTGAGAGTGGGTTGATTTGGTAGTTGGCTGGTTTTAGTTTGACACGTTTGGGTTTTTTTAACTCCCACTTGCTTCACTCTGAAAAAAAAACCTGCCAGTATCTTATCTGGTCTTGGCAACCAGTTGGAGTAGCAAGCGCAGAGATTTTGCAGGGCAGCATTGGGAAGACTTGTAAACCATGCGCTGGACTTGAACCAAAGTTTTTGCTATGCTAAGATTTTGCTTGGACTTCATTTGCACCAGATATCGCTTCACACCAGGGAACAAATGCATGTGGAAACAGCCTTTCTGACTGAAGAGTTCAGGTTGCGGTCAGAGCATACAAGGCCCTTTCATGTTCTGTGGATAGGATTCAAAAATGTTACCTCTATAGGCTATAATTTAATTCCCTCTATGAAGGGGCACACTTCTGTTGCGTGTCGAGGTCCCCAAGCCACCCCCCAATAACTCACACATCACAAACATTGGGTTTTTGGCACGATTTTGGCCACAACTTTATTTAAATACATCCAAGGGAGTGGTTGCTTAGGCATTGGTTCCAACTATCTGTCCTTGCCCAGGGGACAACTGACTTCCGGATCCCAGCGAAAGCCAGTGCAGGAAACAACTTTTGGGGAGAAAATGAAGCTGGGCCTCAGTCCTTCACTTCTCACCCTCATGCTCCTGGTGGCTTGCACGGCCCAAGTCCGATGCCAGGGACAAGGACGAAAAGAATGGCAAGCCCCTGGATTCCTTTAATGGAATTCCCTTTCCGCACCACCATTGGAGGGGTAGGCACTTACCCCTCCACCAACCAATTTGAACCAATGCCTAACCGCCAACCTTACAAGTTGTGACGCTTTGCTACGCAGTAGGCAAAACCAAATGGCATCAGCCAAATGGACAAATTCCTACCAGGCCCCTGCCTCAAAGCAGACGACCCCATGACAGGCATAGCAAGGTCAAGCGAACAACCCCCCAATACAGGGAGGGTGGGCGGGTGATCCGGTGCAAGCAGCCAAGAGAACGCTCAAAGTTGGGCGACC